TCAATGTTCCTGGATTATGTAATGTTATCATCCACCTGGGTAGCCCTGGATATGGACGAATTAGGGCATAAAGAATAAAGCTCAGATGAGATAAAAGAGAACTAGGGAATTTACGTATACTCTATATTCCGGTTATGTAGCGATCGACTTTTTTTTAAATATGAAGAGAAATGGTGGATGAGGAGAGTGAAGATCCATAGATATATATCTATAGATAAATACCCCCACATTGCACATGTCCAGACGATCACATGCAAGACTGCCCCACGATCTTTATTCTCCATTCAAACTGTTGCTATTTATGTACTCCTACTGACTCAAGAGCCAAACCTGGACTTTAACACGAGGCACAATCTCCAAGAACCGCCTATTACTACGCGAAAAGGCTTGATTGTTGAAGTCAAAGCTCGGATCTCCGAGCTAGCTTTGCAATGTTATTGCATCTTGTTATATAAAGATTTGGAAACCAGGCCAACGAAGCGTAAGAATGACGTTCAATTCTAGTCGTACAACCTTTAGGGATATTATGTCTCTGGGTGTCTTCTGAGTAGTTTAAGTATTAGAGTAGCTTTGATCAGCGCTTTATCAAAGTTATCGGTAAAAACCATAGTGCTACTAAAATCCACTATACTTAACCGAATTTGACTAGATGAGAGTGGCACTCTCTTCGTGGATCAATTCATGGAAACTATGGCTACGTTACCAAAAGAGGTAGATGATCTCTACGATGGGCGTTAGGCACGAGTAGAGGTTCTTAGGTATTACATAGTGGCTGGGGGAAAAAAAAACCTCCGCCCAAAAAGGCTACACCAGACCTATATAGTATGTTGTACTAGAGGCTCCGGTAAAGTATATCATATTGAACTAAGAACTGATGCGGAACGATCTACAAGCACCTGTGATACTGCCGGTTCTTGCAACTTTGAAGTAATTAATGCGACTGCAAACCGACTACTTCTGGAGTGACAAAAATTTAGCCAATCAAGTTGCGACAGGCCCATACTGTTTTTGGGGTATATTTTATGATATATTTTTAGCCGAGTATGAAGAAGTCCACCACTGTAGACAGATAACCTCCGACTCGGATTTTTCTCTCCCTCAAAAAGATTTTTTTTAGGCTTATTCGAAGCAAATAAACGAGTAGCGTATTACTTTCACATCCTTTCTAGGAATACAAACGAATCCGAAGATGATTGCAGTTCCAGTATAGACCGATCTCGCGGCTCTGATTGGGCTAGCGTCATCACTAAAAATTTAGTAACCCGTCCACTTCCATGCCGCAGCCGACTTCCCCTCTACCAACTTTTCCACTGTGGGTTTGCAGATATTGAATCTAACACACTTAACTCAAATTTTGATTCTTGGCTTTCTCACCAGGTCTCTCTGATCTTTTGACTTTTTCTTCTATCCAACCCTACCCTCCGAGAAGCGCGCACAAATCCCGGCGCGTTTCCCACTTCAAACCGCAATCATGGGTTCGTTCCAGACCTTCCATTTCCCCAGGGCATCGCCCCCCGCCAAAATATTCATGGGCGATTGGCTAACATGATGAAATATCAGCTCCCAAAAACAAAGCCCAGAAGATGTCTATGAGCACCTTCTTGGCCGATGAAAGTGAGTGACTGGGAAAAATTTGGATGATTGGATGTGATTACTGACCACTTTAATAGGCCTTGGATCTTGGGCTGATGAGATGGAGGATATGCCCCTTCCTTGTAAGTTGCAGATCTTCCCCCGCTATGGAAGTTGCGAAATTATACTAACAAAATTTATAGCCAGTATGTAGTGTGCCCGATACCCTAACATCCTAACATGCTTATCGTTGATCGGAACCCTTACTTACAATATGGACAGCCCAGCCTTTGGCATCTACCTTCAGCCGTCGCCCCGCAGGTGATTTGGCATTCGGCTCTGGCTCCACTGGCGGTTTTGGTATGATCCCCCCCCCCCCCCCCCCCCCGCGGCGGCGCTAGATATACAGAGAACTGGTTCTGACAGATTGAATGAATAGAGCGCGAGCGTGGTGGATATGCCGTCCGGGAGCCTCTTGATCTCCCCACCCAGCCCCCCTACACTTGCCACATTGGCAACCTTTCCTTCGAATCAACTGACGCCGATATCTCCGAGTTCTTCGCTGGATGTGGTGTGACGAGCGTCCGTCTCGTGGAAGACAAGTTGACAAAGGCCCCCAAGGGTTTCGGATATGTCGAGTTCGAGACCGTCGAGGGCCTGCAGAAGGCTCTGGATCTCTCTGGCTCGTCTTTCCAGGGACGTTCCATCCGTACCAGTGTTGCGGAGCCTCGTAAGTAGCGAAGGTTAGTGTTTGGTAAAGGATCTCAACTGACAATTTATTTTAGCCAAGGAATCTCGCCTGGAAGGCAAGGATCTTGACTGGTCCCGACGTGGCCCTCTCCCCGAACTTCCCCAACGCCGTGCGCCTGAGCGCTCCAGCTTCGGACGTGGCATGGATGCCGGCTCCGATGCGGGCAGTGACCGCGGTGGCCGCCGCAGCAACTTCGAGTCCGACGGAAAGCCCCGTGACTTCAACAACTGGGAGCGCAAGGGGCCCCTTTCGCCCTCTGCCGGTGGCCCGCCTCGCGAGGGTGGCCGAGAGCACAGCAGCGATGGACCCGGTTCCAGCTTCCGCAGAACCGAGGCCGCGTGGGGTGAGGGACGTTCCCAGGACGAGGGCTCGCGCCCTCCCCGCCCCGAGCACGTTCGCCCGGAGCCTACACCTACTGCTGCCGATATGGACAACCAGTGGCGCGCCAGAATGCGCCCCGACGAAACTCCCAAGGAGCCCATCAGCCCCGCCTCCCCCTCTGCCACTCCTGCCGTTCCTGCTGCCCCTGCTAGCCGCCCCAAACTGAACCTGACGAAGCGCACTGTCTCAGAGAACCCCGCCCCCACCTCAGCCAGCAGCGACTCCAAGGCTAGTCCCTTCGGTGCCGCTCGCCCCATTGACACTGCTACCCGCGAGCGTCAGGTTGAGGAGAGACGCCAGCTTGCCATTCGCCAAAAGCAGGAAGCTGCCGAAAAGGCCAAGGCCGAGAAAGCCGAAAAGTTCGCCGAGAAGCAAAAGCAGCTCAAGGAGTCAGCCCCTGCCGTGGACCACAACGGCAAGGATATCCTGGAGACCCCCAAGGGTGGTGGCAACTTTGAGGTCCTCCAACAGGCCGGTGAGGATGGCGAGTTGACCGCTGACCAGGAGACCGAGGAGACGACAGCTGCCGCTCCTGTCGAAGCCAAGAAGGCGTCTGCTAACGGCTGGAGAGCCCCGGCCCCTGAGGCTGGTGCTGGTGCTGGCGGTGACGACGAGGGATGGAGCACGGTCAGTGTGAACAAACGCAACAACCGCCGTGGACAGACTGGTCGTGGATTCGCATAAACGTATCGATACCCCGAAGCAACGGCCGTTTTTTGCCCTGAGCCTTGGGATTTTACCGGGTACGCAGATGGGTTAATTCTGGACGAGGTTCATTCTGGTCTTGGGTGCACTGCTCGGTCGAGTTACCTTGAGCGGTTGCACCGGGATAGGTTTGTCACTCATAATTACCACCTGCTCCCGCCATTTCTCAGTGCCGGACGTAGATTTGCTTTTTCTGATTGAGCTTTATTCTCCCTTCCACTCCTACTCTTTTGCCCTTTGGTTTCATGATCTCTTTTCCTTTTTTTTCGGGGGCTAGATTTTTTTCGATATACATCTAGTCCTCGATTCGATGATCTGGCAGTCCGAAAAGTTTCATTTTATGTCTTGTTCGCTATCTAGCTATTATTCCCATGCGTGACTCAAAGTGATCTGCCCATGACCATTACAGCCGATGCGAAATGAATACTACATGTTCCATTTTATTTTTCCTTTCCTTTCTTGTTCTCTTTTCTCCTCTCTTCCGTTCGATTGACCACGGGTGGTCCTGTTTCTTTCTCGTTTCTGTCTGCCGTGGATGTAATGGGTCGGGGGTCTTTGGACACTCTTCTTCGTTCCCGGCCATGCGAACAAGACGACTCTGCGAGAATAGTCATTACGAGCACCCCTCTCATGAGCACAACGTTGACGAAATCAATTCCTGTTCTTTTGCTCTTCTTTCTGTGACTGCTTCTAATTCGATTCTTTGGGATCTTTGCATACCAGAATTGTCTCGATGGTCCTTGCTCCATTTCTGCGTACTAACCTTTTGAGTTGAATTTCCGCTTAGCATAGAATGAAATGCAGTCTTCACTGACAGTTATGTTCTTGTAACATTCTTGTATAGTATTATGAGGATGATAGTGCGTATAACATACGTACTTCCATCAGTGTCTGGTATTTATATATTTGCCAAGGCTAAGTTCCAAAACACTAGTGGAGGTTGGACTTTTTTTCTCTAATGATGAATAGGTTATAGGGAATAATTATGAATATGACATCTAATTTTAGTAGTAATAGCATTTAGATCCAAGACATAAAAACAATAGTCCATATTTGGTACTCCGTACTCCGTACTCCATACATAGTCTATTGGATCAAGCAAGGGTATATATAAATAGGGTCCACTAGTCTCAAAGGGTTCGAACGTGGCAGATTAATGTACCGAGGATATGAGGTGTGAGATGTAACTAGTTATGGAGTTTAGTATATAATCAACTATGCTCACTTTCAATTAAATGGTTGTTTTGAGCATGTTTTGGATATAGTTAAAAGACCTCCATCTGAATCCATCCATAACATGTTATGAGATCATCCAGGAACCGAGATACAATTGGCCAAGAAATAGAGTGGCCGGTATGGAATTAATGATAACCCCTTCAAAGGGTCAGGGATTATGATTTTCAGCCTTTGAAATTTCTTTTTTTTTTTTCTCTTTTTTATTAGTACTTGGGGACTCCTTAAACCCCGTCAAATCACCGTTACATTCTTAGCACGACTAGTGAAACCAATTAAACCCTGACAATCCCGGGGTAAGCCCCATGTTATTATGTCGACTACAACATCCCTCACTACCACGCTTGTCGTACCGGCCATGAAGGGTGTCGCTATATCAGAAAAACAATGTCCTATGTGTTGGGGCGAGGGATTTCTCCAAGATGGTTCTGGTGCCCACGATAGAATCCAGGAGCTGGAGGGGCAGGTGCATGCGTTGACAGCGCGCGCTTCGGCTACAGGTAAGCTTGTGCAGGACTCTGTTTCTTTGCAGACTACATACACAAGCATAGCATGAATGTGATCGCATGTCTACAGAAAATACAGCAGTCTACTTTGTTTTTGTTTTTTTTCTTCCAGCCCAACCATAAACTAAAAAACTTCCCCCGCTAACCCGATCAACAGCCTCCAAACTCACCGAGTACGAAGACGAAATCCGCCGTCTACGCTCTCAATCCCAAGGATCCTACCACACCCCACGAAGCAGCTCTTCACTGGGGAGACCCCCCTCTCAACCCGACCACTCCTCACCACAACGGCCAACATCCTCCGAATCCCAGCCCCAACCACAAACATACCACAGCCGCCTCACAAACCTAGCCTCCCTCCTCCCCTACCGACGCGGCAGCGCAACCCCAGCAAGCGCACCTTCAACATCCAGCGGCGCCGTTCTCCCAAGTACCCCGACCGCGCTGACAACGCCCCACACACACATGTCTCCCGCAAACAGCGAGCACACCGCCGAGTTGCAGGATGCGCTTACGCGCGAGCAGAGACGGCGCGAGGCAGCTGAGTCGCAGCTTTCGCAGGCGAGTACTGAGCTAGAGGAGTTGACTGTGCAGCTTTTCAGTCAGGCGAATGAGATGGTTGCGGAGGAGCGGAAGGCTCGCGCTAAGCTTGAGGAGAGGGTTGCTGTGTTGGAACGGAGGGATGTTGAGAAGCGTAGTCGGTTGGAGAGGTTGGAGAAGGCTATGGCGCGTGTGGAACGGTTGAGGGCTTTGGTTAATCATCAGTGATGGTTGGAAGGCTTTTGGCTGACGTGTGGGGGGTTTTTTTTGGGTTTTACGACTGGTACGATTGGATTATTTGATGATGGAAATGATTGGGCGTGTATTTGGTAGGATTTGGGTTGGGATTCCCTTTTGATATTTCGCGCATCTGGATGGGGTGTTATTGGAGTGTACAGTTCAGATTGACTTCTGTGGTTATGGTTGTTTTTGCCGACATAATGTGAGGAGTGAAATTGTAAACCCGATCTATCACGGAGTTTCCGTGTGCTCGTATAGACACTTGGAGAGGTATGCCGAGTACATCAAACTAGTCCTAAAGTATAAGTATCCGCCATCGAAGTGACCTAATAGGCAATGCATCCGAGCAAATGACGTGCGTCGAGGTTGGACCTTCCCGCAATCGGAGTGGCTCTGGGGACATTCAAACGTACTCCACTGCTAAACTTCCTTTAATAGCACTGGAAGGACTGGAAAAGTAACAACATTTGATATTTCATCTATATCTTTTGATCTCTCTATATACAAATATGTCTATCGGCGTGGCTATCATCGGCAGTGGTACATACTTCTACAATGCACTCTACGTTGTATGCACTGGCTAACATCCAACAGGTCTCTTTGCGAAAGAGCAGCACCTTGTATGACAAACTCCCTAATAGTACCATCTTCTATATGATCTACTTGACTAACTAATCATACAGCCCGCCGTCCAAGCTGCCTCAAACTTCCAACTCAAGGCCATCTATTCTCGGTCCTTGAAGTCAGCCCAGGACCTCGCCAGTGGCACGTCTGAAGTCGATATCTACTCTGAAGACTCAGGCTCTGACAAGTCCTATGCCGATCTACTGGCTCGTTCAGATATCGGCGCTGTGATTATTGCGTACGGGATCCCATTTCTCATAGATTCAACTAGAAGAGCGAAACACTAACCCTCGACTCCGATAGCCTTCCCATTCTGGTCCAGCCGGAGTTTATTCAGAAAGCACTGCTCGCTGGCAAGCACGTCTTGTCCGAGAAGCCCATCGCCAAGGATGTCGCCACTGCCCAGGAACTTTTGAAATGGTATAAGAGTACTATCGACACCAGCAAGGTCTTCTGGGCCGTCGCCGAGAACTTCCGTTATATCACGAAGTTCCTCTTCGCGGCAGAGCAAGTTAAAAAACTGGGCAAGGTCCAAAACTTCCGGGTGAACGTTCACAGCCTGATGGATCAGAACAACAAGTACTTCCGTATGTTCAGTCCTGATTCTCTACATGGAATATCTTAACGGAGACTGACTATCTGAACTAGACACCGCCTGGCGCAAGACTCCTGAGTACCAGGGCGGATTCCTTTTGGACGGTGGTGTGCACATGACTGCTGCGCTGCGCTTGATTCTAGGCCCCACGGAGCGTCTTAGCATTCTGTCGGCGCAGTCGCAGTTGCAGAAAGCATTCCTGCCGCCGGTTGATACAGTGGATGCCGTTGTGAAGACTGAATCTGGTGCTACTGGCGTTATCTCTTTGTCGTGGGGATCCTCGTTTAATGATCAGATTTTCGAGTTTGCTTGCGAGAAAGGTGTCGTCACCTTAAACTTCGATGATGTGACTGTCAATGGCGAGAAGCACCATGTTGAGTTTGATGGCAGGGGTGTTGTGCCGGAGGTGACGGAGTTTGCAAACTCCATAGTGAGTGGAAAACCTGACATTAGACAGTCTCCCGAGGAAGCATTGGCGGATCTTGAGATTTTGGAGCAGATGTTGCGAAGTGGCGAGAAAGATGGCGAGAAGGTTCAGTTGCATTTGCAGTGATATTTAAATGTTATGTGGAAATTAGGCTAGAATCAATGCATAGATATTAAGATATCTTGGAATACTAGTATAATATAATGTAATGCTAGTATAATGTGCAATGTGATAAAGGAGAGACCATCATCTACAGATGTATACAACATCTCCAGATATTACCTAAAAAGGAATAATAGGGCTAGGGCTAGACCAGCCCTAGGCTGACATAAGTGGTCTGCTTTCGCTTAGTTCGCCCAAAGTGCACTAGTGTGGGTCTCCCACTCTGCTGCGGGAGAACCTGAGAGAGAAGTTTTCGAGATTGAACTCCGACTCGACAACTCTCGAACGCCCGGCGAGACCCAGCAATACCGACAAGGTCAGTCACCAAATGCGCATGATATTCAATTCAGTCACTAATTTTTATTCCAGATGGTCGCCGCTAAGCAGCACATCCCTATCGTGAAGAAGCGTATGTTCCCGATGACCTATTCCATTCCTTTTCGTGCCCGTGTCCTGGATACTCTCGCCCTTCGATCGTCGACCAAATGAAACAAAGCCAGCTCAGCAACATGCAACAAATGAAGAAAAAAACCATTGGAGGATTGCAGTGGGAAAAAAAAATCAACACCTGTCTTGGATCGAAGGGCGACATCATCCGCCGGACTGGAGGCTGAGAAGGAGCACGGATTTTTCATATTGACGAATGGAGGACTGACATGGACAATTAGGCACGCACCGCTTCAACCGTCACCAGTCTGACCGGTTCATGCGCGTTGGCGCCTCGTGGCGCAAGCCCAAGGGTATTGATAACTGCGTTCGTCGCCGTTTCAAGGGCCAGATGGCCATGCCCTCCATCGGTTACGGTTCCAACAAGAAGACCCGCCACATGATGCCCTCCGGCCACAAGGCTTTCCTCGTCCACAACCCCAAGGATGTTGAGCTCCTCCTCATGCACAACCGCACCTTCGCTGCTGAGTACGTCCTGCCTCCTACGCTAGCTGTTGCTATCGGCGATCAAGTCGCTTTATATATTTCTTTCTCTAACAAATCTACAGGATCGGCCACGCCGTTTCTTCCCGCAAGCGTGTCGAGATTATCGAGAAGGCCAAGGCTCTCGGTGTTAAGGTCACTAACCCCAAGGGCCGTGTCACCACCGAGGCATAAATGGAATAAACCCAGTTTGTTTCCTTTTAGTTGGGATGGGTGCACGAGGTCGGGGTTTTTGTATGGCGATACTATCTCTTCGGCGATAACGAAATTTAAGGATTGTGCATGGCATGTCCGGCTCGGGCCTTGTCATAGTGCCGGGCGCTGTGAAGCGAGAGAATTGTTCTCTGAAATGACAACAAAAATTACAAAAATTCCCTTTGGTTCACTCCAAGTCATTTCAACCATTTCAATTGAGGTGCTGGTTCTAATCTGGCCTCGTACATGTAGTTGTACAGTGTACATGCAGTGTATTTCAATAGGTTTACCCAAACAAAATCGTAACCCTAAAAACATGCACTTCTACAACATACATCCCTTATACGTTCACCCACTACACTATATTAACATACCCAACCCGAAACCCCTTTACATATAGTCGATCTCTATCACACGTTTCAGATCATCGGACCCACCTTTAAGTGGTGACGTACGCAACATAAGCAAAAAGAACCCTGGAGTTCCGAGATCAGCACGACATAGGAGCACAGGATCAGGATAGAATCGGACATCAGGACACATAGCATCCGTTGCATCCGTTAAATCCATTATCCAGGCCAATGTCTCACGTCTATTTAATCCTCGAGAATAATGGTGCCACAACCCTGGTTTGAATGTCACCTATGATGTACATAGGCAGCCTTGAACTTGTATCAGCCCCCACGCGCCCATCACTTAAGAACTTGGGGACCCCCTCCTGAAGATCCCGTCGACTTTCATGTCTTATATTAGGTCTCCATCTGGATATGGAGACCGATCGATCCTTCCATATCCATTAAACCCCTTTCTTGGACTCTCTTTCTCTCTACTCCATACCTCTAGAAGCCATCAACCCGAATCCCCGAAAATGCCCTCTCTCCCACACCGATATGGTCGCTGGGTTCTCATTCTAGGCCCAGTGATCCTAATCCTCTTGATCCTCCAATTCATACACGCCGATTTCGGCTCAAAGATCACGCAGGACGTGATCGAACCCTCCACCGGGCTGACGATTGATACACACAACGAGACCGACCCAATAACCAAAACCAACCATGCCCCCTCATCCTGTCCAACCGACACAGGAATGGATTCTGTGTTGATAGTAGTCAAAACCGGCATCACCGAAGCCCAAGACAAAGTCCCGGTCCATCTAAGAACAACCCTCCGCTGCGTCCCGCACAAAATAATCGTCTCCGACTTCGAAGAAGACATAGGCGGAATACGCACCCAAGACGTCTTCCTCAATGTCTCCGACACTCTTAAACAAAACAACCAAGACTTCGCTTTATATAACCGCGCCCGAGCAGGCGGCCACACAGCTCTAACCTCGCAAGACCACACGAAAGTCGCCAATGGCCCGTCAGGTATGAGTGACAACCCAGGCTGGAAACTAGACAAGTGGAAATTCCTCCCTATGATTCATTCCGCGCGACGCGCGAAGCCAGACGCAAAGTGGTTCGTGTTCCTGGAAGCAGACACATATCCGATCTGGCCGAATCTGCTCTTGTGGCTGGCGCATTTCAATCACGAGGAGAGACTGTATCTGGGAAATCAGATGCAGATTGGGTCTACATTGTTTGCGCATGGTGGGTCGGGATTTGTACTCTCTCATGCGGCTGTTCATGCCGTAGCGGATTTTCATAAATCGCATATTGATGAGTGGGATGATATCACTGATCAGGAATGGGCGGGGGATTGTGTGCTTGGGAGGGCGCTTTCTGCGACTGGGATTGGACTTACTTGGTCTTGGCCGCATGTTACTACGCAGTCGGTTTGGGAGCAGGATATGTTTCATGAGGCGTTCGCCAAGACGCCTTGGTGTTTTGCGCCTTTTACGTTCCACCATATGACGCCGGCAGATGTGGATCGGTTCTGGGAATTTGAGCAGCAGTGGTTTGCGGATGTAAGTGGTTTCTAGATACCCATATCCGATATTAATCTCCTCGGAATGAATACGTCACTAACCAACACCAGACAAACTCAAACGTCCTCACATATAGTGACATCTTCCGCAACCTCATCCGCCCAACACTCGCAGACCACCTAGACAACTGGGACAACTTCGCGAGCGCGGGCGACGACAGAGAGGATTACAAGGGTCCAAAGACACCTACTTCTTTCGCCGCCTGTGCGGACTACTGTGCTGCAGACCCAGAGTGCATCCAGTACCGCCTGACTGCCGACTTGCGCTGCACAACGTCCAATGCGGTGCTGCGCGGAAAACCCCAGCCAGGAACTCAGTCAGGGACGATGTTGTGGCGGGTTGATGCTGCGTTGGAGCGGATGGAGCAGTGTGAGAAGGTGATGTGGGTGACTAGCTAGATTTTCGGAATTTTGGATTGCGTTTCTTTTATCGTTGGGATACATTACTAGGCGTTTAGCGTTGAGCGTTATGTTTTGGTCTGTTTTGCATCAAGGTTAAAATGTGGCGACATTGATAGGGCTGGTTGGATAGCGAAATTGGTAAAGGATTATATATGAGCTGGCTCTCTATTGGGAATGCATGGTGTTCTGTATGGGATCTTGAGGGTTATCATGTCGAGCTCTAGGCTGTGTAGGGAACAGGAACACTCAGGCGAATAACAACTGAGTGTCCCTTTTCTTGGAGAATCTGACTACTCTTAGAGTGGCGCCTCCGAACTCTTCCTATTTGGGGTTAGTATGGGCTTGTTTCTTTGTTCGTGGAAGTTTGAGGCACGGGTGAGTCTCGACGGGAAGGGAGAACGAGTGATCTGTTTTGGCGCCAAGGTGCCGGAGCTTGATATATATATATATATATATATATAATGGAATGGCAGGCGAGTCCTACATCATCGTCGCTACATGATCTCTAGCAGAGCAGAGTATCAAGCTCGAAGTTCGAGCGGACGGGAATTTGGACTACGTTTCGGGCCTTTGATACAAAGTATATAGGTAGACTCCGGGTCTACAAGTGGTATGCTATATGAATAAATTTTGATAGATTGCACATATCTCTATAAGAGTTCTAACAACCGCAAGTCTATATGCTAGAATTGAAGACCAAAAGATCGATGTATCGACATGTCATGGATAATCAAGACCAAGACGCTATGCTCGTGAGCTTTTCATGGCAAGTCAGCAAAGTGGTATCAAGACAAAGACAAAGACATTTTGAGAAATATCATATAAATAGGTATTTTTAAGAAAAGAACCCCTAAAAGACAACATCATTAGTTCGTAGCAGGTGCCACTGTAGCTTCACGGGCAGATTCGTTCATCTTCACAGCCTCGGAGATATTAACAAGGCCAACGCCTTCCAGAAGCACAGAGCCAGTATTTGCGTCTGCGGCATGGTCATCATCACCCAGGCCAGGCGGAATAGTCCCATGGCCAATGACAATTTCCTCGCCTTCAGCTGCAGGAACCCAGTCCGGACACCCGCGGGGACCCTCCATGCCCGCAGGAGGCAAGCCCCAGCGAGGCATGGGGCTGCGGTAACCCCAATCACCATCTCTGTCGGCATACGCAACAGCATGCAAGAAGATACCGAGTTCATGGGGGCCCGGATCCGAGTATAGCTCTGTGCCGCAGACTTCACAGAGTTCGCCGGACAGACGCTCGCCCTTGCGCTTCGCGTAGTCCTCGGCTGCGGCCATCTGCTCACGGTGCATGATCTCATTTACAAGCACCGGGTCGGTGTTCGGTGGGACATTCGGCGCCGCGGTCAGGTGTGTGCGGTACGAGACTGTATCGGGAATCTCGGTCTTACCCATGAGAGACAACCGCGCGACGATCTCTTCATCGCGCTCTGCGGTCACCTCAGCTTTGCCAAGCTCGGGCCCAAACACACGGCGGTTGGAGTAGATGGGGTCGTTGGAGATCGGGTGGCCCAAGAACTGGAGGTGGACGCGGATTTGGTGGGTACGGCCTGTCAGCGGGAAACAGTGCACAATACTGTAGCCCTCGGACTCATTGGCCAATTCCGCGGCTGGGGTAGCGGGACGCTCGTCGTCGCTGGATGACTCGGTATCCTTTGCGACCTCGGGAGGGTAGTAAGCCAAGCGACGGAACTTGGTTGTCGCTTCTTTTCCGGTGGCACGTACACGGTTCAGACCCAGTTTCGGGCTAACCTGCATGATTGGCTGATCGCAGACAACCACGCCGTCCGGGAACTTGCCCTTCACGCGCGCGACATACTCCTTCTGTACAGAGCGGGCCTTGAGCGCCGCGGCCATTTTGTCGGCGGCCTTGGGGTGCTTTCCAATGAACATAATTCCAGAGGTCAATCGGTCAAGTCGGTTGCATGGACGAGGTAACCATTCGGAGCTACGCTCGGAGCGCAGGATCTCGACGACTGTGTTGAAGTGGTATCGGCCCGCGGCGTGCACCGGTACACCAGCGGGCTTATCAATGACGATGAGGTCATCGTCTTCGAAAATAATTCCAACGGGAAGGCTTGTAACGGGCGGTTCGTGGCGGTGGAGGGTGTGTGAGATGACCTGGCCATTTTTAAGTGTCGTTTCGGGCCGGGCTGTCACCCCGTTAACCTGTACAAGGCCATTCTCCAGGGCTTTCCTCTGGCAATTGTCAGTTTGTGATTCTCCCACATCTGAAGGTTCACATATTCACGTACATAGTATTCTGGCTTTCGATCACGAAACTCGGAAGTGAAGATCTCGACCAGCTGGCGACCCCTCCATCGCTCCTTGCAGTTGGTGTTATAGGTGTAATGGTATGGCGTCACACGACGGAAACCACCATCCAGATAGTAAGGCGCAGGCCATGGATCGCAAGGGGTCACGAGTACATCGGCAGTCTTTTCAGTCTTTTCAACCGGTTTGGAGGGGGTAATTTGATCGATTTTCGTAAGGGCCATGGTTGGCAGCTTGAGCTTGCCTTGCCGTAGCAAATAGGCCGTGAGACGAGGTGAGGGAGCCAGATAGACGACAAAGGCGACAGAGACTTGAAGAATTCAAAAAAGAAAGAAAACTTTAGAAGGTTAAGATTCAAGTTGCCCCACGTGAATAAATATTATTTTATTACATATTCCAGGCACATTTTATTTTATTTTCCGTTCCATGGTTATTACCCCTCCGCCCCACTGATTAAAAATGTCAAAGCCAATCAAATCATAAAAATATGAAAGAAAAAAAAGAAATTGCAACCTGTGGGATTCGAACCCACGCCTCTTTCGAGACCAGAATGCTTCACTGAAACAGTGAAAGAGGTAATTCTCTTGAGTCTGGCGCCATAACCAACTCGGCCAAGGGTGCTTGGGAGGATGGGTTGTGAATAAGAAGTAAGTCTGAACAGTGACAATACCGATACAATTCATAAGCATCCCTTGTTTGACTCCCTCATTTTATACTTAATAGGGATGGGATGTGGTTAAGAAATAAGATTTAACAATGACATGACCTATGCAATTTATAAGCATACCTTGCTCGATATATAAAAGTTGTAATAGATATAGAAGGGTGGTCAATCTGGGTGTTGTTAACGTATTTCACAAGCGAGCCGCCCACACAAGCGAGCCGCCCACCCCAACCAACCTACTAATTTCAATCATATATATGTCAACCATAACTCCATTAAATTGAATATACTAAAATAAATCTATCTAGCTGGGCATCTATTAAATCTATGCTCAGTTGATCTGCACCCACTACACCTTGGTGTAGCCCGCGTACGTGGTTCTAAAGCCGGTTCTTCATGTATGCCGGCACCGGCATGGGGTGCTTCATCTGCTTCCACTAGCTCAGGAATCAATTGAGAAGCTTCTTGTACTAAGAGGCCTTCTTCTGTAGGTATCTGCCTCCGGGATCTAGTACGCTTTTGCTTCTGCTTCTCGTTGGCGGCGCGTAATTCCTTGTTTTCTTTAGCGAGTAAGATAGTACCTTGCATTGTAAGACGGAAGCCTTTCACAAGCTGGTTTAATACACGATCTGACGGGCTAGGCGGGCTTCGAGATCTTGTACGAAGTAAAGCTTTAATTGATGAAGCTTATCGACGTAGGTCTTTCTCTGTAAAAGGGGTTTTTAGGGTAAAATTCCGGCTTGATTCACTACCCCGGCTAGTAGGGGGGGTCGGGGTTCGGAGCCGGATATTGAGCTTTGAAATCACTCGGTCGGGTCCAAATGGTACTAAACCGGCTGCTACGAAGCTATTTTTAATCGTCTCCGATTTAAAAGCTTCAATTCGTACGTAGGGGTATGCTTCGAGGAAGTCAAGTTTATCAATATAGTTGATCCTATTCCGTATCTTGATTTCAACCATCCGACCGTACGTACGTTTTAACACCGCAAAACAACCAATATCAAGAGGTTGTAAAAGATAAGATAAATAAGCTGGCATACAGATTGGTATCACCTTATTTTGCTCACAAAGTTCATCAAATTTAGGTATTAAATGACTTCCGTGGCCGTTAAGTATTAAGAGCCGGTATACCCCCTTCGTACGTATAGTACTAGGAATAAAGAGCTTTTCAAGCCAACGAAGGCTAATTTCATCGGAAGTCTAGCTATTAGGACTAACTTCAAGACGCCAATCCTCCGGGAGGCCGTCGAACCATAATTTAATAAAGACTTTACCTTTAAAGATTATACACGGAGGAAGCACCTATCTAGAAGCATTTATATATTCAATTGTAGTCACCTATTCACGATTTCTAGGTTATAAAACCGGCCTCCGACCATAGTATTCACTCCTTATAATAACCTTTATAGTTGCAGTCAATCCTATTGCGAAGCCGGTCTCGTCAAAGTTATAGATATCGTCGGAATCGATTCTATATTAAAGGATTGTCTTTTAAACTAGATTAAACCACTCTATAATGATTTTAGGATCTTTATATTTCGTACGCTCGTAGTTATACCGTTTCGAGAATTGGGAGGAGAGGAGAGGACGCCTTTTAATAAAGTTCGTAACCCAATTTTGGCCGACCGAAAGAACCGGGGTAGTTCTACGCTTTTAAAGAAGAAGATCGGCTATTTCTCGTACCATAGAGGGCCGGGGGGCTGCTCTACGTAGATCTATAGAGAGAATCCATTTTTCAAGAGAATCCTCTTCAATTTGGGTCAATTTAAATGAATTGGCGCGTGTAGTACTTCGTTGAGTATAGCCGGATAGGCGGTCGCGTAAGGTTGTACGTGGTATATCAAAGCGGCGTGCTATTTCACGAATTGAAGAGATTTCTCGATTCTTAAAAGCCTGGATAGCTAGTAAGATCCTACCCTCTTGCTCTATTGAATCTTTAGAGCTTCGGGATCGAATTGGTGGCATGGTAGGTGGTTGAATTGACTAAGTGCTAATCTATGGACGCGTTTTGGTTGGGGTGGGCGGCTCGCTTGTGTGGGCGGCTCGCTTGTGAAATACGTTATAGCCATCCCCCTATATATTATTAAGGCATACAAAGACCTATAGATTCTCTAATATATATTAGCTACCGGCTATACGTTTTCTTATAGATCTACGGCGAAGTCGAGGTGCATGGTGCAATGTGAGATTGATTGATTGAAGAGTTGTATATAGGCTTCTAGTTAGTCTTCTGCTATAATCGATCAAGTGTACAGTCCATAGTAGAATGCAGTGGAGTGGTCTAGAATCTCCATGGCGGCGACATTGTCAGACTGAGAGACCAGCTGGCACATGGCTTAGCCGTTGATTTAACTTTGTAGAACATTTGCCGCATTGCTTGCTCAGGAAAAACCTCCGAATGTTCTCCATTGATCGGTAAAGGTTAGATTAAAGAGTTACAGCGGGGAGGAAGTTATATTAATATGGGGTATAACAGCAATTTGCTCTTTGGTTGGGAAATACCTTTTAATGTATGTAGTCTTCTATTTATTATGACTTTATACAATATCTGTCTAACACCGTATCTTTGCCCCATCTCATGGAGCATCAGGATCAGGGCTATTCTCCCAGCTACGCGAGGTGACTTCACGAACAGAGCTATCAGTCCCCGTAGGTTCAAGTGCAAGAACAGTGATGATTTTTTTGTCACTTTCATGAAGGTAACACCAAGGAAGGTAAAGCGACTGCTGCGGTCCCACAACTCAATAACGGCCCAAATTGACTCCATTGACCCAAACCACACCCTTCGTCCAACTAGGTAGTTCGAGGAACGTATCACCAACCTTATCCAAGTCGAACGAACCAGTGAAGAAGATAGGGCCTGAAGTAGCAGAGGGCTTCAGAGGCGTTTTGCCGTCGGTAGAGTCGGGCGGCGACGCCAAAGGCAAAGAGTATATCGCCCACTTGGAGAGCACACTTGCACCAACGGTGACATTGCCCACAATCCCCTTACGCTGGTCCACGATCTCAGGTCCATAGTTAACGCGTCCGAGGTTCTCGACTAGAATATCGAGCACATCGCCTTCTTTCAGATCCAGGTTGACGGTGCTCGGTGAAGCGTATGTACCGTCAGTCACGCCAACTCGGCTCTTGTTCACGTACACGAGGACCCGATCCCGGGGTTTACCGCCGGTTTTGACCGTGCCGCTGACGGGGGTTGTGATAACGTGTCGGTAGAGGATTAGTCCAGTCGCCTGGCCAACTGCTTCCATATTGACTGGGAATTCTTTCTCGGTAGGTTTGGGAAGGGAATCAAACATGCCCACAGACGGGGTAAGTTTAACAGATGGTATTTCAATTAATGGTTGTTCTGCTGGAAGAGCGGGGAGCTTGTCTTCGCCGATGATGGCGCCGATAGTCTCTCGAATCGCATGGTAGATATCGTTCGTCCGACCTGTTTCGTCGAGGGGCGCACCGTAGTCATAGCTTGTGGTGATGGGCTGCAGGGCGTTGGCCCAGTTAGCTCCATTTTGGAATCCCCAGTTCGTGCCACCGTGGAACATGAATAGATTGAATGAGCCGTTGTTATTTAGTAGCCACTTGATATCCTTCGTAATTTTATCCGTAGCTTCCTTGTGTCCGACGTTGCTCTTGTGTTTGTAATTGCTTGCCCACTGGTGGAGCCATGTGATATAGTACTCACAATCGAGCTGGGGGCCGAGACTAGTTGGATCGGTAACGTATTTGTCGCGTGTAGCGAATCCCTCATAAACATCCCCGTCCGTCTCAGCCAAGACACCTGAGATCTGCCTGCCTTCGAGCATTGCCTGGGTGCCACCGTCATTGGTGTAAAAGGGTACATCGAAAGAAGCTGTGAATATATCCTTCAAAGCACTCAAGTACTCGTGATCACTTCCATAGGATCCATACTCATTCTCAATTTGGACCATCAAGATAGGTCCTCCGTCGGTGACCTGGAGATCACCAACCTCATCTGCAAGGCGGTTGATGAAAGCCCTTGAGGCTTCCAGGAAAGGCTTCTAATTGTCACGGACAACTATCCCTGGAAACTCGCTGAGCCACGGCGGGAAACCGCCCCATTCATGCTCAGCGCAAACGTATGGGCCCGGCCGTAGAATTATATTCAATCCATTTTCCTGCGTAAGCCGGAATACTTTGCAATGTCGTTGTTGCCAGTGTTATACCACGAGCCTTGGGAAGGCTCGAGCTGATCCCAGAACACATAAGAGAAAATTGTGTTCAGACCCATGCCGCATGCCTTTTCTAGGCGATCGGGTCATACTTCGTGGGGGATGTGTTGTGGGTCCATCTGACCGCCACGAAGGAGGTAGGGCTCGCCATGGAGAATGAAAGTGTCGTTGTTGTACGTGAATGGATCAATGGCTCGTACTACAGACAGAAGGCTAAAGACCAAAAGAAGAAATCTTGAGATAGATCCCTCCATGGTTTCGAGGAAAGAATGAGTTGCTATTTTCTAGCGAACCCGGGCCGAGCAAGTTCGTTTTATATCTTCTGACTCGCATCCTGTGATTAATGATAATCAAGAATAACGCATGAAGATTGTGTCCTGTATCCGACGAGGTGTTTGAAGCGTTATCCGAGCCGATTACTACATCGATGCGCGGCTGCGCAGTGATCTTCAACCCCGCACGCTGGAGTGGGGGAGGTAGTGCCCTGAAGTTACAGCAGGAAATTATATTATAATGTTGTAATGTAAAATATGAGATCTATATCTCCGACAGTATTGCGAAAGGATCTTCTCTATCATTGCCTGTAACTATGTAGCTAACGTTCTAGGGTTACATGTGTCACATGTATATCTTGCAGCTATTTATCATTGGGCTGGTCCAACCAGGTACTGTACTATTCACTCAGGTTTAATCTAAATATAGTTCAGATATTCGGTTACATTCTCGTCGGATGAACTAAAATGTGTTGGTATTTCAGCCAAAGCCTCAATATGCTACATGTTACAGTGTACGAGTTGATCAAGATAGTTCAATATTTAGACATTAGACAATACCAGCCCCTTGATGGTCGAAAAATCAGCCGGCTTTTTTCAATATGGAACCAACTTATAATATTTGATGCTACATAAGTTGAGGCTTACAGCTCTGCTAGTCCTTCGTCTAAACACCCCCAAGACTCACCAAGAGCGATTGAATGAATTAGCGATCTATTACTGCAACTGCATTTACCTGCTGGGTGATGAAATATCCCTAGTGAAACTAGACAGGCTAGGTACGGGTCCCCAGACATTCTGTAGAGGAGTGATAGTACCAAACAAGCTGAATAGCGGAATTTGGAATACATACCACACGCACCAGGGTTTCAACTCGAGTTCGGTCGTCCTTTTCATATTTCCCAAAGATAATATAAAATTCCCAGACTTCACCGCGTAAGTTACAACCTATTAAAGGTGTATTCATATTTCTATTGCAACGGCTTATTACCTATGTCAAATAAGAAGCCATCCAGACTCCAAGCTCTATTTGGCTTTCGAGAATATCCGCATCTACTCCCTTAAACACAAAGCTTGGGCCCAGAAGTTTGCCGCCGAGACATTTGTTGCTAATATGGCTTATATCATTGCCCTTTGCACCTGGTGTTTTGTACTGGGGTGTCTATAGTGCTTTGGGAAACCCCAAAATAATATCAATAGTGCAGTCCAAAATTTGCCGTACGTTCCGAAGAGGTATCGGGGCTTGACTAGCTTTCCTCGACTATAAAACTATCAGTAGAAGCCAAATTGAAGGAACATAGGCCATCGAACATACCAAGGCAAGGCCTCTAATGGAATGTCACCGATGGCCACCCTCAATAAAGGTAAAATAACCTGATCGACCCACTAAACAGAACCGAAACCCTCGTTTCTGCCATCAAAGGAAACCTCACTGATTCGAGTAATCGCCTCCGTACCGGAAGGACCAAGGGGGCAGAAAGGCCTAGACGCAAGCGATCAAGTAGTTGGGCTGGAATTGACTCTGGGTCCTCATTACCAGGAGTAAAGTGAATCGAAGGGATTGCAGAAGAGCCGAGAGCTTCTTTGATATCTTGTGGGGTCATTTCTTCCCAGGGGACCAACACAGACTCTTCATGGGATTGAGAATGAATGGAATAGATGCTAATATGAGCGGGGCTGGTAGGATATTTCTGCATCTTCCCGTATGTTGGCAGGCAGCGTTGAGCCACTGCGCCATTCGACCAGCGAGGGGGTACATCAGGATCTGACTTGACAAAATATCGCATGCTGTTCCTGTATCTTCAGGCATGTCGGCAGGCATTTCTGGGCTATCTCGGGATTTTTCTCCATCTGGTTGTTGAGGGAGGCTTGTTTCTGGTGGAGAGTGTTCCACTGCATAGTCCAGGGTAGTCCAGGGTGTATAGATAATGAATCATCCCCTTAACTAGGGCCGGCTTCTCGTCCACGGCTGGTGCTGTTGACCCGACAATCTCCTCGGATACTGTCCCTAACTGTTTACATCGACCACCTTCCAAACCTTAGAAGGCAATTGAAGCATGGGCCACTCGGTGGTGAAATACGTTAGTTATTTAACTAACTTCTTCTGTCACCGCACTATAATTAGTCGATAGAAAGCTACCAGTGAGTCATCATGAATGAATACGAGGCAAACATCGGGCGGGAAGATAAATCTTATTTTCATGCCTCATCCACGAGATATAATTTAAGAATTCTCAGAAAGCCGTACCATCATCATCACTTACCACAGGTTCAACATGTCTCCCTTGGTGCAGCAAACGCGCAAGCGCAAAAGAAGCCCCAAACACCCAACCTCCAGCGCCAACGCCCCCACTTCATCCTCGGTTCTAAAACACCCTTCCCTCCGCACAACACCAACCCACATCTTTTTCCACGGCGGCATCCTCTCCAACTGGCATCCCAGCATATCGCCATTCCCTGGTAAAAATGGACTAGAAATTTGTCTCCCCCTCCTCGACGAACTAGGCATCGCACACCCATCACCAGAAAGCTATTCCACACTCTTGATCCATGAGTTTGGCTTCGGACGCGGAGAGCAATGGATGATGGCCATGAAGGCGTGGTTATTTGAATGTGAGATGGATGAAAGCGGGCTAAAACCGTTCCAAAAGGTAGGGAAGGCGTCTGACCAAGAGTTCCAACGGTTCCAGAGGGATGTCCTTTCCCCATCTGTACCTGCAACTTCCTCTTCATTCTCTGGAACAGGACCGGGTGAAACTGTAGGGTCAGAGAAAAAAGATGCCTGGGATTCGCACCTCCCATGTATCCTCCGGACGAATGTTCCTAGGTCGCAAAAGGCATTAGGCAGAAAAGTACGCGGGTTCCAGCCGGATGTGTGGAACCAGGCTTCTATTCCGATCATGATGGCAGGATGTGTTGCGAGGGCGCAGGTGGATCAGGAGTTAAGGGATGTGTATCTGGCTGCGCAGGGGAGGACCTTCGTAGAGGGCAGTCCCCGGGACCGTATATGGGGGGTTGGGCTGAGGTGGGATTCGAAGGCGATTGAGGACGAGGCTAACTGGAGGGGGGAGAATCGGCTCGGCAGATGTCATGGCGAGGCGGCCAGGGTGATGCAGGGAGTCGATAGAGGCGGTTGAATTTGGAGGCATCAGGGCTCAAACTTAGGAGATTTGTGATTTAAAGCCCCTTACTACATCTGTTATACCGGACAAACAGGTTCGAGTCATTTTAGATTAGGGCCAGTGGGATATAAGACGTAGGTGGGAAGTCTACATGAAACAATAGCATAATCTCGATGCACCCCAGACAATAAACATAGGGTATATATATATACAACGACACTAGTCTGCGCAGAATCAAAACCAAAGAAGGTCAAAATCTATAAAAGCCCCCTCCCAAAAGGCATTTTCGCGAGCAACCAAAAAGAGCAAATAAGAACAAATTCATCAGTCATACATATTATACGGATAATTTCTCCGGAGATGGTTCGACATTGGGACTGCCAAGAGTTGCTCCATCATAAGTTGCATCGGTAGCGTGAGAAGCCTCGTGAGGGGCACGGCTGGAGGCATCGTTAGAGGCATCATGAGCTCCATTGGAGACCCCGCTGGGACCATCGGGTGCTTTCTCAGCGCCGACAGATGGCGTCGAGGGGGGGCTCTGATTATCCCGACTCCAGGGCCAAACATTGGCCTGAACAGACGCAAAGCGGGTACGTGCAGTGGGCGCGCTGATATCGTCAACCCAACGGATGCCGCCTTGTCCACGGTTTTCTGCCCACGCCTTCTTCTCACGACGTAGGTCACTCTGAACCCAGGGGATTGTGATCAAGGTCCAAATAATAGCCCAGGCAAACGGAAGGGTCCAGCCCAACTGTATGTAAGGTTAGTCTTATTAATATTTGAGATTGAATTCATTCTCGCTTACCGTGAATGCAACATTTTCCTGAACGGTGAAAATAACCGCAGTAATGGCGGCGGCACAGATGATAGATCCTCCACTCCAGAAACAGTTCATTTCGAAGAGCATACGGCGGAAATAAGGACTCGATAGGTATCGAGTTCGGAGAGCATATCGATATATCTGTCCACCACCACCGTCGACTGCCACCACATCCTCAATAAGCGCATACAATGCGGTTGGCATAACGGAGCCTTTGGGCGTGGAGGAGATTCGGAATGGGGCCTTGAAGCCCATCATACGGAAAATGTCAAGGGAGAGGTAGACGAAGCCGAAGTAGAACATGACGGTCGGTAGGACCATGGCGATGAGGCGCACTGTTCAAGCAGTCAGTATGAGCCAATTGCGTAAGATATTGTGGGTTGGTCTAACCATATGGTTGTTCAGGTACCGATCCACTGGGAACTTGTTAGTTTATTGTTTATCCCGCTTCTGTGGTATATATAGACTCACACGACCAGTTCGACGGCCAAAATCAACCACACGATGGTGAAGTTGATTTGGAAAAAATCCAGCTACCGAGAGGTATCAGTTGATGATCCAGATCAATCCTAGGTCCAAACCTACCCATGATACGCGGGAGTTCAGGGGTCGGGCGCGCGATTTTTTGCGGAATAAATTATGAAGGCGGTAAAAGTATTCAAAGACCGAAACCCCTCCAAGTGATGCGGTGACGATCGAGAAGACTGCACATCCTAATCAGCAACCTGAACGGGTGTATCTGTTCCACCGCACAAGACATACCCAAGTTGGGTGATAGATCGGTGAGATACCAAAGACACCAATACAGAATCAACGGCTGAGCCAAGGTATCAATCACAAAAATAGTCCAGAAGAAGGCGATCGACTTCTTCCTTGTGTGCAACGAGTATGGGAGCGGAGGAGGCTCAGAGTGTGTTGGGACGGTTCCTTCTTCCATCGGGGTGGCGATAGTGGCGGATCACCGTTGTTGATAGGTTCGGGGGGACACGCGGTAGGGGGTTGGTAAAGGAATAGGGGGTTATTAGGACATGGCGTGAATGTAATATGAATCCGAATGGATTTCCAGAGAGAAAGAATCCAAGAAAATGAAGTGAAGAGGAGGGCGAATAGGTAAATTGAAAGCCAGGAAATTTTGGCCGGAAACAACGGAGCTAGGTACTTCCGTTGCCATACTAACTTGGCTGGGATGCGAGGTACCTGACGTAAAGCCCTATGATGTCACTCAAAACAAGTCTTTGATCAAACCACCGACAGGCCGATTTTATGTATTTTTATGTATTTTTATGTCTTACATTGTATACTTCGTATTGCCCGTATTCCCTTGGATTGATCTTTGTCTCTTATCTGTCTTTTGTCCAAAACATGGGTTATTCGGTTTAATAGTATATATATGGGGTACATAACATCCGATACAAAAGGAATATCTGGGATTGATGTCAGTATGCGGTAAACATACATTCGTCCTGTATAAGTCAGTGAATGGTAAATATGCCACCAATATGCAGAAAACAGGAATCGAGATCTAAACCCAAGTCGCATCGGTGCTACCCGGACGCCGATCCCGACACGACTGGGCCCGCTGACCTCGGGAGCTTATGCCTGTTCATAAATGCTCTATATATAGTACAATGAGGTACCTGCTTACATCGTATGTTGTACAACGTACTAGAGACAACATTAAACCAACATTTAAAAAGACCTGCCCAATCTTCTTCAAAACGAGGCATATGGAGTCAAAAACATGTACATTGGCGTCGGCGGAAGTAGGGTGGCGGGAACAACTTGCACTATGGATATCCGCTTCTACGATGTATTCTGGCTTCAAAACCAAAGAGATAAAGTGAAAATCTCTCTAATAGTTACCCACTAACGGAATCATTATAACTAACTATCAAAGAGCGTATAATATAACTAGACACTGAATCATTTATTATGCCTTACAAACAAGGCAACAATCACCATTGATAAGATAAAGTCACGTGATATGACAAACTCATTGCAAAAATTGGAAGTTCGGCGTTCGAATCCCCCCCTTCAAAAAATTTCTATCCTTCATTAATTCCCCCCCACCCATCACCTTTCTTTTATCATTTTTACTCTCCTCCTTCTGTCTATAAAAAAGCTATGTAGCTATGCCTGGCGTACAACATCTTATCGACTTCGTGCTGAACGAAGTCGCACTCTGTGGCAATCAAGGTGTGTATAGTTTCTTCACCAAGACCCACTTTTTCCTCACCCCGGAGACGCATGTCATATCGCATGTCGATTTTGAATGTCACCGAAACTATGTCGAGAGGCTCCTAGTCTGAGGAATATGTTGAATTCCTATTATACTTCCTCTCTCACACCCTTCTCATGACGTATTTGAGTCTGCGTTCTCGTGGTGTGGACCCAATGTCGATCTATATCCTCTATCTCAGGCCCTGATTGGGCGCTTTTATTCATATACACATTTCGTTGAACAGAATGCTAACAGATACCAAGGCGCAACATTATCCGATCTATTGCAAGCCATTGACGATTTCCACGCTCAAACTCCCGAAATAAACCAAAATATTGACCATCGCTTCAAATCCAAAATCTGGTCCTGGCTCACGACTAACCCAGAGGTGTCTATTGGCCAACACAATGAATGGAACCATCTCACCTTGAGTGAAGCCGAGCAGCTTGACTCACGAAAAAAGGAGAGCGATGATCCTGAGGTCAACCAAACCGTGGATGAAAACCTTGATTTGCCGCCGCTTCGAATCTTTGTCTCAGAAGAGAGAACGTGGGTTGCCATCACTGGCCACCCACCAGATGAGTCCAAGGTACTACCTCTTGAATTCGTCTTATTGTCGGTGATTGCTTCACGCCGGTCAAAAGGTATTGTGCAGCCGGAGCTGGTGAAGCTCAGTGGTCAGGACAAACGGTCTGTTCCGAAGCGTACCGATGCTTTGCAGAGAAAGGGCTATATCGACAAGCGACCCGTTCAAACAAAAACGGCCCGAACCAGCCTCTGCACGCTACAGCGATTTTACCGCCACACCACCAGTGTTCAAACAAAGGAAGAACCGCAATCGAAGAACATGATTGATTTCGACAGCTTCAACACCAGTTTGTTCGACATTCTCCGAGAGCACCAACTGATTGCTCGAAATGATTTAAAACAACTCTTGGGCTTTGACGACCATTGGCGTTGGAAAGTCTTGTCCCGTGCCCTCCGCAAGTGGGAGCGGATAGGTGTGGTCCAACGTGTGAGAGCCGAATCACAATATGAAAGAATGCATCCTTGTGTGAAGCTTTTACGAGATCCCTCGGAGCAAGATCTGGCCCTTTTCCATGAATTCAATTTCGATGTTTTGAACAAGCATGGGGTGCGAACCAAAGGAACCAGGCTTACCCCGGACCGAGACCACAGCATGGAGCTGGAGGGCCCAAGCAAAAGATCGCCCAGCCCGGAGGACGGTAGGATGGATCTGATCAAAGAACATTCTGGAGAGTCTGCACGCATCGTACCATCTTGGACACCGGATCGTAATCTCAACAACCAAATCTTTGACATCATTCAAAGAACAGGCACAACAGGCATCACGAACCAGGTAAGTGCCTTCCTCGAAAAAGTGAAAGTTTTCTTAGCTAACAAAATAATCGAGGCCCTCAACTGGGCTTGCTTTGGGTCATTTTACAAGAGACCTGCTGAAAGTATGGTGCATAAATTGGTCGACTTGTGGCAAGTGGCCCAGCCACTTCATCTCCGCCATTACGCCATCGTTCGAGATATGGCAATGAAAAAGACCATCATGTATTATGTCCACTATTCGGTAAACAATTTCGCAAAGCTTGTTGAAGCTGGCCAGGCATCATGGGAGGCCGTTGAGCTTCCAGCCAAGAAAGCCAAATCGCTAAAGATCGTGGCGCCGCCATTTGGTGTTCTTCCTCAGCTTGACGAGCATGGATTTCTCAAAAAGGAATTCCCAAAGAATATGTTGAAAGACCCAAATTCAACTCTACTCGATGGGATCCTTGCTGTCAAACCGCCCAACTATCTTCTTTCTTCGAGCGATCCGTTTGTTGTTGAACTTCCAAACGGTCAACATGGTATGATTGCCCCTTCCTCTCCTTGGTTTTCACAAGTGGAATCATCTTGGGTCTAACATTAAGCCGCAGTGATCCGTACTCGTACCGATAAACTCCCGCCTGGCTCCAAGCAGCA